CACCGCCCCCACCGCGCCGCGCCCACCGCGCCGCGCACCTGGCCGCAGCGGCTCGGTGACGGTGAGCACTAGCAGGAAGAGCAGCAAGAAGGCACCGCTGTCTGCCTTGGGCACCATTTATCCTCCGTTCATCGTCCCCGGGGCGGCCGCGTGACCCCGCGGGGAGGCCGGACCGGGCCGGGCTGAGGGTCAGGGGACCGGGCCGGGCTGAGGGTTACGGGCCGGGCGCGGAAGGGCGGCGGGAGAAGGCTCCCGCTAAGCCGCGGCTAAAGTGTGCCGCAGGCTCGCGCGCACTCTCGGCCTCGGTCTCGGGTTCCAACTCTGGCTCCGCGCAAGATGGCGGCCGTCCTGCTCGGCTCCGCACCGCCCCCCGCCCGCGCCTCCGGCGCCGGCCAATGAGTGCCGAGGCGGGGGGCGGGGCCTGCACGCTCCCAATGCGTGTGGACCCTTGGCCGGGCGGGGGGCGGAGCCTGGCCGGTTGCACCCGAAAGGGGCGAGGCCTGAGGCTGGGACGGCGGGGGGGCGGGGACTGAGAGGCGGGCCCGGCGGGCGGGCGGGACTATAAGGAGTTAAGTGTGCCATTGGTTAAGCGGAGAGGTGGGACCTGGGGGTGGAGCCTGGGCTTTAGGGCCTACTGAGGGCCGGGATCCCAGGGCAGGACGCGCAGGGCAGGGGCGGCGGGGGAGGAGTAACCCGGCCAAGATGACGGATACAGAAAGGGGCGGGGCGCAGTGGGACCGAAGAGGGTGGGGAGCGGAGGGGCGGGGAGCAGCCCAGGGGGGCGGAGCGTGAAGGAAGAGGGGAGGGACGGGGAGCCGAGGTGGACCGGGGTTAGGAGGGGTTGGCGCACCTCGCATACCTGCAGGCCCAAATCCGGTCAGCGGCCCAAGAGTGCTCCCTAAAGTGGTCCTCTAAAGGCAGAGCCGCTGCGGAGAAGGCATGAGGAAAACGGGAGGAACGCAGACAAGCTTTGAGGAGGTGGGAAGATGGGGTAATGGAGGATCCACCCTGTAAGGAACAGGCAGGTGTGGCTTCACCAGCACATACTCCTGAAAATGTTTCAGGTGAGGAAATAGCCTACAGGAGTGTCATACGAGAGGAGCTGTCAGGGAAACCCAGATCTTAGACTGTGGAGCAAAGCTGGCCTCTGAAGGAAGAGCCCTGCCTACACAGTGTGGGGAGGGGGGGGAAGGAATGTTGGGCACAGCTGCTGCCACAGCAGGCCGCATCTGCGGGGAGGAAAGCCTCGGTTCCACCATGCTCCCCGTGCTGGCCTCACACCTGTCAGGGAACAGAGTGACTGTGGAGGCAAACACAGCAGATGCAGCGTCCCACTAGGAGAGGAGCAAGCCATCCAATGGAAAGACCACCAGCCACACACACACAAGGCCTGGCACAGGGTGTCAGGGCTGGGGAAGAGGGTGAAGATGGGAGCAGAGAACAGGGGACCCATTTTAGCCTGGCCCACCTCCAGCCCCGCCAACTTACTCCCCAGGAGCAGTCCTCCCAAGTCCCTTGAAGGCATAATCCTCCTGAACGCCCCAGGGATCCAGCCTATGATACTTGGGGTCCCTGAGAGAGGTACCCACTCCCTCTGAGTGGAGATGGCCAAGATAAAAGCCAAGGCTAGGCCAGACCTGCCTGCTCCCTCTCCTGCTCCCTCAGGGCATGGCCTGTAGCAAGTGCTAGACAAAGGGCCTGTCACAGCAGAGGGGCCCCACGGCCAGCAGAGACAGTGGTCCCTGTCCAACACTGCCCTGGCCACTGGCACTGTCCTCATGGAGCATTCCCAGGAGCAGCTGCGGCACTGGAGCAATCCAGGCCCAACCTTCAGTGTTCCCCGGGGAGCCGAGCCAGGGTTATAGGCTGGGCAGACCCCACGGAGGGAACTCAGAGCTAAGAGCAGATATCCCTGCCAGTTGTCCCCCCTGCAGAGCCACTGTCGGAGAAGCAGGCCAGCAAAGGTTCGGATGGGGAGAATAGGACAGGGAGGTGAAAAGTCCAGCCAAACCATGCAGGGAGAAGGCAAAGCCCTGGCTTCCGAAATTGCAGTCACCGCTGGGGCAACAACTCACAGCCCCTCTTGATCCACCTCTACCTTTGGCCCTCCCGCACAGCCTGCAGGCTGCCTGTGTGGACACCACCAAGGACCTTTAGGGCTGAAGGGAGAGAAAAGAGGTCAGGGCTATTTTTCCCCAGCTCCCTCCCTGTGGAGTCACTGCCTCTACACTCTTCCTAGTTTCCAGTGACCAACCTTCCCTTCTTCCAGGGGTTTGTTACTACCCTTGGGGTACCCTACACTCCACTCCCACCTTTGTAAGTAAGATGACTTTATTAAACTCTTCTCAGACTGCCCTAACTTGAGTATGTCTTTTGTTTCCTGCCGGGACTCGGACTAATATGACCATCCACCATGGATTTCCTGGGATGCCATGTTGTAATAATCAACCCCACAAGGAGGCCTGGCTCCTTGTTTGGAAGCACCGGCAGACCGATGTGTTCCCCACAGCCCCCTCCCACCTCGGTCTCAGCCAAGTGCAAGGCCACTCTCCGCTGGCCTTTGGTCCACTCCAGCCCCCTGGCTGGCCTTCCAGGGTCCCAAGTCCAAGTGGCTCAGGCCAGAGCCTCATTCCCCCAGGGCACTCCTCCTTTATGACTTCACCCACTGAAGTCACCTGGGGGACAATGCTGAACATTCCACCCCAGAGTCTTGGCCTCTAGGAGGCAGGGACAGCAGGCCCGGCCAGCCCAGAGGACTCTCTGTCCACAGTGTAAATGAGGACGCTGCTGGCCCATGTCCCACAGGGATGTAGAGGGCAGCCTCAGAGGCACTGGGCGCTCCCGGCACCATGGATGACGCTGCTGTCCTCAAGCGGCGAGGCTACATCATGGGGATAAATTTGGGAGAGGGCTCGTACGCAAAAGTCAAATCTGCTTACTCTGAGCGCCTGAAGTTCAACGTGGCGGTCAAGATCATTGACCGCAAGAAAGCCCCCATGGACTTCTTGGAGAAATTCCTTCCCCGGGAAATTGAGATTCTGGCCATGCTAAACCACCGCTCCATTGTCAAGACCTACGAGATCTTCGAGACATCAGATGGCAAGGTCTACATCGTCATGGAGCTCGGGGTCCAGGGTGACTTCCTCGAGTTCATCAAAACCCGGGGGGCCCTGCATGAGGATGACGCTCGCAAGAAATTCCACCAGCTCTCCTCGGCCATCAAGTACTGCCACGACCTGGACGTCGTCCACCGAGATCTCAAGTGCGAGAACCTCCTCCTTGACAAGGACTTCAACATCAAGCTGTCTGACTTCGGCTTCTCCAAGCGCTGCCTGCGGGACGGCAGTGGCCGCATCATCCTCAGCAAGACCTTCTGCGGGTCGGCGGCATACGCGGCCCCCGAGGTGCTGCAGGGCATCCCCTACCAGCCCAAGGTGTACGACATCTGGAGCCTGGGCGTGATCCTCTACATCATGGTCTGTGGCTCCATGCCCTATGATGATTCCAACATCAAGAAGATGCTGAGCATCCAGAAGGAGCACCGCGTCAACTTCCCCCGCTCCAAGAACCTGACAGGCGAGTGCAAGGACCTCATCTACCGCATGCTACAGCCGGACGTCAACCGGCGGCTGCACATCGACGAGATCCTCAGCCACTGCTGGGTGCAGCCCATGGCACGGGGCCAGTCCTCTGAGGCCACCAACAAGGAGGGGGAGACCTCCTGGGGCCCTGAGCCCTCATGGACCCCTGAGACCCCTGACAAAAAGTCTGCCACCAAGCTGGAGCCCCAGGAAGAGGCACAGCCCGAGACACAGTCCCAGCCAAAACCCAACGAGGAAGAGACGTTGCAAGTGCCGGTGTCAAGGCAGTTGGACACCACGGGTCTTAACGGAGAGATGCCTGGCAGGGAGACAGAAGAGGTCCTCCCACAGCCTTCAGAGACACACACCTAGCGAGCCCCTCTTGGCCCAGGGGGCCAGCAGAGAATGAAGCAGAGTTCATGGCTTTGAGCCTGAGCTCCAAAGAAACCAAGGGACAAGCCAAAGAAGGAAGACGGTCCCGGATGAGCCACTATTTTCGTCAGTTTCTTCTCCCTCCCTTTGAACTTGGTAACCCACATGGCTAAAGAAGCAATAAATCACTATATTAGTGCAGACCCTAAGGTGAATGTCTTTGCCCTAGCTGACTGCGGTCATCCAGGGAGAGGACCCTGCACTCCCTGCCGCACCCCGCCCCCGCCGGCTCCCCACTCTCGGATCGCACCGCATTTCGCCTCCAGTTTGGGAAAATACATCCCCGTGTGCCCAGCCCTGACTGTGACCTCAGGCCCCGGACCAGAGCAGAGAGCTGAGCAAGGAAGACGCTGTTTCAAGAGGGAGGCCATGAGTGCGGTGCTGGGAAGGGCAAGGGGGCACAGAGAGGACAAGACCAAGAAGGGCAGGGGCACACAGGGGCTCCCCTGCAGTTGGGGCTGAGGATCTGGGCCCTCAATGTCCCGGCGCTACTGCCTCCACAAGGCTGCCGGTGGGAAGGGGGCCTGCAGGGGGCAGGTGGACCAGCCTCTCAGCCCCTCTGGAGCTCCCCACCCTGGGATGCCACTCATTTCTTTCATTCTGTCCACCAGGGCTCCCTCATGGCCAACCAGCATTCAGTTCTGGGCACGCCCTGAGTCATCCTACTTGTGATCATTCCCCCTGCCCAGGAGAAGTGGTGGTGGCGGGGG